AACATAAATAGTGAAAAGTGGGTGTTACATTTGTATAGTGGCATTAAGTGCCGTACCTAATGTGCACTCCTGCCTACCCCTTCGGAGATAAAACACGTGTTATGTTATGTTATTAAAAAACAATTTAGAAAAAATATAAACGTCTTAATAATTGTTACAATAAAACGGAATAACACAATGTTTGATGGTGTTAATCTCAAAAACCACTGAACAGATTGTAATGTAACTAGAGAGATACATAAAAATCTCACTTTTAGATACTAAAGAAACTTTAAAAAGTAATTAAAAATATATACTCGGAATCCTCCAGTTTAACTTACACCAAAACTTATCCGTTGCTAATGAAAATCTAATAGATTGCTAATAAACTTATTAGCATAAGCGATATTGCTTCCTATTACGACCTATATTAGGTACATAGTCCCATATTAACATTATTCTAATTAAATTTCGGTTTATATAAGTATTAGTGAAAATATTTAGCTTTTCCATTATGTTAGGTTAGCAAATTGAGGTTATTTGAGATACAATTTGGATTCCAGTGGCCCAATAGATGTGAGATGGGACATCAGGATGATATATTTAGTAAAAAAGTTTGACAGTTTTCTTATGTTAATTTCAATAGTTATCTTAGGTTGAGACAATTCTATAACAATTTTAATTTCATATAACAATATTTATAACACCATAAAGTCCACACCTTGTACCTAAATCCTAGAGGGCAGGTTAAGGAACTCTTTTGTGGTGATTCTGAAGGGCATTCCGGGCCATGGTCATAGGCAGTGAAGGAACACCGCAGTGGTTTTAGCTGGTAAGAGTCCTGCACACCCCCTGTTGTCCGAACGACGTGGGAAATCCAAGAGGATTTCCACCGCGATATAAAACAAGGCTTAGGTACACGTAGTAGGTAAATGTAGTAACTATACTATAAGTCCTAAGTATGTGGTCGTGGTGGCCCGCATGCTTACGGATGTGGCTTCAAAACCTACCAACGACTAGTACCAATGTGACGTTTTCGACTCATATGTACTTCCTAATTTTATTTAGACACCACTGATTAGTGAAGGAAAACATTGTGAAGAAACCTGGACTTGTAATTTATAATTACAAGTTTGAAATTGCCAACCCGCATTGAGCAAGCGTGGTGAGTTATGTTCAAACCTTCTTCGTACGAGAAGACGCCTTTGGTCAACAGTGGCAATTGGGATGATGACGGGGTATGAAAATTAAAAATCTAATTAGTCCGTAAGTTAGATAATTAAAAAAATATTAGACACTTATTTTTTATTTTGTCGTATAATAAAACAATACTTATATAAAACGAATCAAAGTTTAGGAGTGAGGGCTAAAACGTCATTTCTACGTATAAAATGTACATAGAAGTGATGTCACGCTACATTTCAAATCAATATATCGTCGAAAGTATTCGTATCTGTACGAAAAAAAAAAATACGTGTTTAATGATTTAAAATAATCTACCAGACGGACATTAAAATAAAAATTAGGCATCTACCCCATTGTATTATCTAGAAATATTAGACAACTTGAAAAGATAAATTACAGCTTCATTGCTCGAATGGCCTTCGACATGTCTACCAAACAACCAATATCCGAATCAGAAAAAGTATTACTTTTTCAGATTTTGGTAAATAATAAATCGTAGCCTACAAGACTATGGTATGACTGACAGAAATTCCACCATATAATATATGCAGCACTAGCTCTTCGTGTGATACAAAAACTTAAGTTCAAGGTCACAGAAGGTACAAACTATCACTTTTTATAGTCCCATAAATATTAGCAGTTTTATCATGGGAGCGTCATGGCGTGCTTATGGGGCATTGTCACGTCAATATGGTATTGTACCCTTTACACATATATTTGGTATTTTAAGGCATGAATAGTTTGCCACTAAATTCTATTTTAGGGTGTCTAATGTCGGGGGGAGTTTCTGATTTTTTTTTCTCCAAGGGTCATTGACGTCCAGAGGCAATATATATGAACCTCCTCAATGTAATAAGGTTTGTTATCTCTAATCTCCACGCTTGTCAAGCGGTCTGGAGATGTCAGTTCAAAAGGTCCAAGTTTGCCAGAGAGTGCTGCTGCCCTGACATGCGCTGATTCCCTCATAATGGAGACTGTTCCCGACTCGGACTGTCTGACTGCTAAGTGTACAAAGTGACAAGCGAAAGAAGTGATTTCATTTCAGCAAATAGGCTACCAGGCAGCTCGTCAATATTTCAAGCGAACGATGAAGTCGACATTTCCTAACTGACTATCTGTTCCTAACTGACTGTCTATCTGTTCCTAACTGAATGTCTACCTGCTCCTAACTGACTGTCCATCTGTTCCTAACTGACTGTCCATCTGCTCCTAACTGATCGTCACTTAGTCGGTTTCTACGTCGCGGAGAACCTAACGGGTAACCGGGGCTCCGACTCGACGTGCAGGAGAAGGAACGGGGTGGTTTTTAGTCAGTAAGAGTCTGACACTCCCTCCCGCCTCACCCAGGCGGGAGCAGTCATTCGATGATTTTACCCCCTTAAAAAAAAAGTCGGTTTCTACAATACCCATGAGAATAGTAGAAGTGGTTACAAATGTGTTTTATCTTATTTTTTACTAGTCTTACAATATATTTTAAGTCATAAATGCAATTTTTTGTGGCTTCGTGTGGTTGTGTGCGTATTTCTAACTCAATCACAAGTTAGTTCTTCTTATAATCTAGAATAATGTGCAAAAAGAACATACAACCCTTTCTATAAAGTACAAAAAAATAAACAAATAACCAAAAATATACAAAAACGCGATCACATTCGTAACAGTTCAATTATAGGTCATCGATCAACGTCACAGAGTATTATTATTCATCACTTACTGAAACGTGTGACTTCGAGTCCTGCTTACCCTACATATGTATGTATATGTGATTATGTTATTGCTAAATAATTGGTAAGTGTTTTAAGTTTTGTTTCGTGTAAATTCTGTTATAGTTTTTTAGGGGTTAAGTCGGTAAACGAGCAGATAGATCACCTGATGGTAAGGAATTGGTGTCACCCACGGACACCCGAAGCACTAGAGACGTTATCAGCGTTTTGGGGATTAGTAATCTGAGAATTGCTGGGGTTTTGTTGAGAGGGAAAATCATTAAGTGCTTCTCCCGTCTTGTTTTAACTCGTCGAGTACCGGTTTTGTAGACACAATTAAAGAACAATATGTTGCGGTCACCGGTGACCGCTTGGTGTTTGACAGTTTAAACGGGAAGGAATGTCAGACTCTTACTGACAGTAAATCACCCCTTTCCTAGTCCTACTCTTCGAGCCTGAGTCCTGGCAACCCGTTGCCTGTCGTGGGGTAGGGGGTTGGAGAGATTAGGGAGGGTAGTAATTGGGAATTCAATAACTTCACTCGCTTGATGAAACACAACGCAAGCGTTGTTTCACGTCGGTTTTCTACATCTTTGATATAAATAGGCCTTATTTTCAGTATTAACTATTACTAGTCCACTATTTCCTAACCATTTTTTCTACATAGAAAAAATATTTCATACTACAATAACCGATTTTTCACATTCTAAAATACTTCACACAATAACCGGAAAAAGGGCAATTACTTTTCTATTTACCACTTAACTAACTGAGGCGTAAGCGATGGCGCTTAAAACAACAATCGTCACAATTGAAAATGTAGCAGTGTTGCCAACATCAATCAATGTCATTTAAGTAATACTATTTTGACACTGGCAACACTAACCCGTTGTAGCGTTTGTCACGAAATTCCGCTACCGCTTGGTCGAAAGGGTTGTTAAACTCTGGAGGGTTGAAATGCCTTTAAACTATGTTTTATTTATGTCCAACAGTGGACGGAAAAACACATTGTGATATTTTATTGATAGAAATTAAATTCGTCTGGC